CCTGCAGGCAGAACCAAGCAATGAGGTGCTCCAGTCCCTTCTTCCTTTGCAAGGGATGCTCACTGTGACAGATTATGGAATTACATTTAGCAACACAGCCTGCATCTGCTAAATCAAAGCAATCATGGGTGATGCTCCCTCCTGCACGTCTGGATGCTAACAGGATGGATTCACTGGAGGAAAGTGGGGATTAGTCATCCAAGGATCCAGAGATATTTCTCTGCATCCCTGTCTCTTAATATATTCTGCATCCCCCTTTTCTGTCTGCAGAGTGTAATTTATCAGGACTCAGAAATTCCACTAGCAGGGTATTTGAAAATTCTGCAAGCAGGGAAGAGAACTGAATGGTTTGTTGCTAATGTAGGGGGCCAGTAATTAAGATTTATCTTAATGTGGAGACTGAGCAGAGACAGGATCCTTGATGAAAAGGGCATTGCATTTGCAGAACACTGAGTTCCTATTCTGAAGAGACACTCAGATCTTGATCATAAATTACACTGTCCACAAAAGCCGCAGGGAGGGTTGAGCTGGGCCCACACAGTTCCCATCCCAGCTCTGCTTTCTCTGCTCCTGGCCCCAGGAAGTGTCACTGAGTTCTGGCAGGGCTCCAGCCCAGGAGAAGCTGCCGAGACCCCCATCTTATGTAGATTTGGAATGGCCTGGTTTTTCTCCACAAGTAATTTGTTCCTTAGCTGACATTTTCCTTGGCAGAGTGGACCTCAGAGTCAGGGAGTAACCTGGATCTCAGCTGCAAGTCCTGCAGCCCAGAGCCAGGGAGTAACCTGGGTTCAAGCTCCAGCCACAGAGAACCTGGATTCTCCACATTTGGAGACTGAGGATGCTGTTAAGGAAGCAGGCTGTTGGTGTCACTCCTGGACAGCATCTCCCCATTTCTCCTGCAGCTGATATTACTCATGAAATGAAAGCCCTTGTATTATAAAGTGATAAATGAAGAGCAGGACTGAGGTGTTGTGGGCCAATGGTATTGGAATCAAGTGGAAGAGAATTCCCAGAGCAGAATTCCTTCCCCTCCTGCACCCAGGGCCTGTGGGTGTCAGAGGGCCCAGCTGGCAGAAAGCACAATGTATAATTTACTGTTAATCTGGGATTATGGGGATAAGCACAGTCTGCTGCCTGCCAGTGTTGTTTCCTTAATCAGCTGTAATCTCAGCAGCATTAATGACTGAACCCACACCCACTGTGCTCCCACATCAGCCCCACAGCAGAACAGAGCAGCTCTGTGCCTGCTCTGGGGCTGAGGCACAGCTCAGTGCCCCTCCTGGGCTGCCTGGGGTGTTTGCAGCTGGCATGGGCACTTCAGATCTCCTACATCTCCTCTGGCAAATGTCAGTGTTCCTCAGGGATGGGGAGCCTGGGTGGCTTTGTCCCCACTGCAGCCCTTTGTCTCCCTGGCACTATGCTTGTCTGTGAGACAACTGCAGGGTTCATTTTAAGGTTGGCAGTGCCCAAGTGCCCTTTCCCACATCCCTCCAAGCCACTCTCCCTATCAAAGCATAGCTGGCGTTTGTGTGTCAGTCCTTCAGGTCTGTCACTGCTGAGGTGCTGTGCCTGTGAGAGGGACAGATCTGAATGCTCAGCCACAATTAACATCATCCTGGGAGACTCCACTCTCAGCGTTTCCAGCCTGCACGCTGGACCATTCTCATGACCTCAGGCTGCCATGGATTTCTCTTGATAACACCATCTAATCGGATTTGCAGTTTAATTAAACAGCTGTCACTTTGCTTCCTCATTCTGCCACAATTTAATGTTGTGAATCAGTCATGGCTGAATGCTTTGCCTTCTTACAACCCAGAGCTTGGATGAACATCAGGTTTGCTCCTCAGCTCAGTCCAAGCAGCACTTTGTGTTCCTGCCCTTTGTGCAGAGCTCCCACTGCCCTCAGTGCAGGTGCCCTGACTGAAAAGAGCTGGAATGAAAAGGGAGATGGCTGCTCAGTCAGCCCTAGGGGCGCCTAGAGCACATCTGCATTGGGGAATTCTCGGCCCTTGCTAGGAAAGAGGTGATTTTTGTGCAAAGCAGCCCTGCAGAGTTTGCTGTGGGCAGTGCAGTGGCTGCAGCTGGGGAAGGGAGTGCTGCTGCTGGTGGCTTCACTAAAATAAATTTCACCCAGAACATGAGAGGAGCTTTGTGGTGCTCTGAGCTCCACAGCAGCTCAGGGAGGAAAGCTTGGAGATCTCCTGCACAGTGGTGGTTTTGCATCAAATTCTGTCAATACATTTTAAAGTAATTTCTTACACACAAAATTCAATAATTTGCTTTCAGATATCTCCTTTGATACCTCCTTGAGCCTAACCACTAGAGTTTTCCTCTAATCATTAGAGGGAAATTTGTTCTTTAATTATACTATTTGTTAATGAAATGTGTTTAAATAGTAATTATTTCCTTGACATGTTGTATCCATTGAAGGGATGCCCTGGTAACAGAAAGAACCTTCCTGACAGTTTGTAGATGATCTTCAGGCAGGAGAGGCAGCTCGGCCTCTGCAGTGGCAGTCAGATGTTGTTGGGATTTGGGCATGGGGCTGCCAAGACAGTTCCAAAGCCAGGATCTCCCTTGTTTCCATAGGATTATCTGTGTAGCTGTTTCAGCTGTGGAAGTGCCAGCCCTGGCTTTTTTAGAGTTTGCAATTCACTTACAGGAACTTCTTTCTGACCTGGATATTGGTGCTGACTTACAGTGCATCTTCCTTGGGTGTTTTTTCAATTTACTCTACCTCCCTCATCTTTGAATTTCTTGGGGAACAAGTCCAAACACTGCTATCAGATGCTTCCAATTTTTTTGTCACATAAAATAAATTTCATTTTAAAACTCTACTTGCTGCCTGCACAGAAAGTAGATTAGTTCTTGGGGGATTTTAAAAATTAAAGAATGTGGAAATGGCCAAGATATTGTGATTTTGAAAAGTGCCTTCATTTTAAATGAATTTGTAGTCTCTCTGAAAGTTTCTTAGGAATGCTGTCTGTATACTCCTGAATTAGCCTGCAGTCAGGGCAGGATATTGCATTTAAAAATGAGACCCAGAAGCCCCTACACTGCTGCTGATGGAAAAGAATTGTCCTGGTCCTTGTCCTTGAGGATGGGATTTGTGCTTGTCAGAGGATGTTCAGGGGGTGGGAGAATGCAGGGAAGCAAATCTGGGTGCTCATGCACAGACAGACAGACAGACAGACAGACAGACAGACAGAGTCTGCTTGGGCTCCTTTGGTTTGATCTGTTCCAGTTCAGCCTTTGGGGAGTTTGGGCTGTGGATGTTTCCTGTGCTGTTCAGTTTTCTGTCAGGTTTGTGGTGATTGTCCCTGGGTTGCCTTTGGCTTTATTCAGCAATATGAAGGGAACACAGAGCAGCAGCAGTTGTGCCACGAGGCTGTTCCACATCCAGGGATGGGGGATACACGCTTCTCTATTTTAGTTCTAAACAAAAAACACAATAAAATCCAGGCTTTGCTCCTTGCTCTCTTTTTCTGGTTTGTTTGAACTATCACAGGGCGCTCGGAGCCTGAGGAAGGGAAGTGGCAGAGCTGAAAATTGCTTTTAGTACAGTGTGTAATATATTAATTGCTTATACATCAGTCTTTCTTAATCTGTGTAATAGCCATGAGTTGTGGCTGCTTCCAGGGGAAGGGAAGGCAAGAGGTTTCCATCTCTGCTCAGGGCTGGGGCTGGGTGGGCACAGTGCCCTCCCAGTGCTGGGCATCTCTTGTGCTGCAATAGGAATCATTCAGGGTTCTTCCCTTTCTAGAACAGTCAACATTCCTTTGTAGCATCTCCTTTTAAGTTTGATGGGATTTCTTAAGAGAGCTGCAGGAGAACCTGAGAAATAACAAGGTGCCAGATGAAAAGGAAATGTGACCTAAATTTCAGACTCACTGAACTTGAATTGAAAACAGTATCAACAGTGTCAGTGCCCCATTTTGCTGCTGTTGACATCAGTGGCTGCAGTCCTCATGACTTCAGTGCTGAGGAATTTGCTGAATATTTTATTCACTTTGTATTGAAAGCTGAAAAGTTGGAGAAAACTTTGAAGTTTTTTTCCTGCATGGGAATCTTGGGAATACAGTGATGCTGACATAGTTGAGGAGTTCCAAGTGTCAGCCTGGTCGATGGTGCATGGAAAGGCTTTTATATGCCACAGCCCCAGCTCAGACTTCAAATTTCCTTGTTATTTCCCCTGCAGTTAACAGCATCACTGACTCCTTCTGGATTCCTTACATTGCTTCATTGGCCATATCAGAGGAAATTAAATAATCTTGAAACAGTTCCAGACACAAAGTTCATGGAGAGGCCCTGTCTCTGCAGTGGGCTTGGATTCATTTTTACTTTGGAGGCTCTTTTATCCTTACCCTAAGGCAGCAGGCTGTCCCCTTTGGTGTCACTCCTGGACAGCATTTCCCTTTTCTTCTGCAGCTGATATCAAAAGCCTTCGTACTATAAAGTGATAAATGAAGAGCAGGGTTGAGAAGTGATTGCCAGTCAAGTCAGGATTGAGAAGCAATTGCCAGTCAAGCCTACATTAGCAAAAACTCTGAAATCACATATTGGAAGGTGAATATTGGGAATAACCCTTCATATCTGAAAAGCAGATGATACCTGTGGAGTGTGCCTGACCTGAGTTTAGAGAATGGTGCTGTTGAACAGAGTGCTGGGTGTTTATCCAGCAGATCAAACAGGGCTGGGGTTCCATTGCCTTTCACCAGGCTGCACCTCTCTGAGATGAGCAGAGATTTTCAGCCAGGCTGGTGTGAGCAGTGCTGTGCTCTCTGGGATGAGCAGAGATTTTCAGCCAGGCTGGTGTGAGCAGTGCTGTGCTCTCTGGGATGAGCAGAGATTTTCAGCCAGGCTGGTGTGAGCAGTGCTGTGCTCTCTGGGATGAGCAGAGATTTTCAGCCAGGCTGGTGTGAGCAGTGCTGTGCTCTCTGGGATGAGCAGAGATTTTCAGCCAGGCTGGTGTGAGCAGTGCTGTGCTTTGTTTCGTGCAGGACACAGAGATCCTGAACACGGCCATCCTGACGGGCAGGACGGTGGCAGTGCCCATCAAGGTGGTGTCCATCGAGGAGAACAGCGCTGTGACAGACATCTCTGAGTCTGTGGAGTGCAAATCCTCCGGGGAGGACGTCATCAAAGTAAGTTCCTGCCACCCAGTGGCTCCTGGGCTTTCACATTTCCCAGGGAAAAGGAGAACAAACTGGGAACAAGCACAGCCTGGGCTGCTGCAGCTCTCCAGCCATTTGTTTGGGAGCAGTGTTTTCCTGAAGCACCCTGTCCTTTGATTAGCACTTGGGGCCCTGCTGTGCTCCTCTCTTATTTTCTGCAGAAATAATTTACCTGCACTAAAAGGGCTCCTTCCAAGGGTGTTTGCACCACCAGAACACTCTGAGTGGCTTCAGGAGCCTCCCCTGCCTGGGGCACTCTGAGGCTGAAGTGGAACAAATAACTGGAGGTTAACGCAGCATTTACTGGGATCAGGCAGGGACATTTTCAGGTGTAATTTCTCTCTCTGCAGGGCTGGTTGGGAATTGCTCACATGGTGGGAGAAGGTGTCTCCTGTGTGTTGGGAATATGTGCAGAACCTCTGGAGGGATGTGGCTGTGGCACGAGTGCCCAGTGCTGTAAAACATACAGCTTGCTGGAAAACACAGCTCAATTAAGTGCTTGGAACAAAAAGCTTTGCTCATCTCATCATTAAGGAGAAAAGGCTTTTTAAATTTTTTTTTCCATCTCGAATGTTCTTGTTTCCACAAAATTTCTTTCTTTACGTGGGGAAGTGGTTTGGGGTTCAAGGCAAATTGACATCTTCAATTGGTTCAGATTTTAAAAAGCACTCAGAAAGCTTCAAATGAGCACAGAGGCCTTTCATCCTTAATTCATTTTGAAATTCTCCATCAAGCTTTTATGTTCAATTCTTTAGAAATATCTTCCTCTGTGAAATCCTGGTGTGGAGACCTTGTTGGACGAGTAACCTTTCTGCTGAAAAATAAAATCCAGTCTTCATAAATTTTGTCTTTGGGCAGAGCCCGTGGTACAAGGGCTGTGTGCATGAGTTTACAGCTCATGTAAAGCCTGTAGGTTACCTTAAACCACAAACTTAGGGGGGAAAAAAAGAGTTTTTGATGAGAGCTGTTGAGAGCTATTCAATACTTACTCGTGTTATCATCTAGAGGTTCAGGCAGATATTTTTGTTGTGTGGAATTTCTGATAATTTGGGAGGGAGGCCAGAAGCTGAAGATGCTCACTGCCTGTCTGCACTTGGCCTGTTTATTTAGTTAGCAAATAAATGTCCTTTGTATGGTTCATGTAAATAGCTTAAAGGTAATGCTCCTGCCATCAGCTCAAAGCTTATTTATATTAATTTTTACTTCACTTGGGCTGAGTTACATTGTTCTCAGTGACAGAACCCTGTGGAAATCTGAGTTCAGGATCTATCTGCAAATAGCAGGTGAGAGTTTCCCAGTGATCCTCATGGTCCCAGGGTAGCTCAGTGCACAGTTTAAATGTGCTGACTGCTACTCCTTTTACTTCTTTTATTGTCTCATAGTTCCCAGTCTTTATTTCCAAATTTACAGCTGATTTCATGAACTTTAAATGCCTTTGAGTGCTCTAGACCTTCACACAGTGGTCCAACCTTTTTAAAGTGGACACAAAATTTATTATGGCACTAAAAAGGAAGCAAAAGCCAAATTTTATTTCACCAAGCTGGAATTTACCAATAGGATCCATCTGTCTGGCATGGAAATGCCATTGTTTTGCTGCTCTGAAGCCCCATGACTTTGAAGGTTTCTCTTCTGGCAGATGTGCTGTTATATTCTGAGCAGGATAACAAATGGAAACTCCACCTCCTTGCCCTCCTCCATACTCCCACGGTGCTGTGATTTCTGGGATCAGTATACATCCACAGAGCAGCAGAACCTGAGAGGAGCTTTATAGAATGAAGCTTTACCACGCCCTTCTGTCAGATGCCAGCAGATAACCAGGGCATCTGTGCCTGGAGCTCCCACAGGAGCTGTTCTGTCAGGAGTGGGCAGCACCAGCCCAGCAGCCAGCCTCTGTGGAAACTGAAACTCAGAATGGGCATGGACTGAGATACATTCACAATGGAAGCTGTAAATGCCTTGCCATCACATCATGGGCAGAAGTTTCAAGGGCAGCTGAAGAAACTGCTAAACTCTATCCTTGCAGAAACTGCTAAACTCTATCCTTGCAGAAACTGCTAAACTCTGTCCTTGCAGAAACTGCTAAACTCTATCCTTGCAGGCTTCCCTGTGCCATCACCCAGATCCCTGCCTGCTCTGGGGATGGAGAGCCAGTACAGCCCAGGTGAAAAATCACAGCCACAGCACCTCAAGTTCCACAGAAAATGCTTCAGAATCACCCCCAAAGCTCCAACAACAAGACTGGGAAAGGAAATGGGAGCAACCACACCAGTCCTGTGCCAGGTGTGATGGGAGGATGGTCAGTTTGCTCCAGACCTGAGTAACACAGTCAGGAGAGAGGATGGTTTGGTTCTGCTTTGCTTTTCTGCCCCTGGTTGTAGTTTGCTCACTGTGGGTCTGTGCATTGTGGATACACACTGAGTTAAGGGATGACAAACACTGTGATGGAAATGCACAACCACTGCCCAAACTGTGAGATGAATTAAAAGTGATTCCACCCTGGGATCCTGCCTTGCCAAGCAGGGTATCTGGGGCCATGTTGCAAATGTGGGCTGCCACATCCCCAGTGAGCAGGAGCCAAGCTCTCTGTTTGTCCCCATTTCCAGAAATTGCTTGACTGGAGAGTGCACAGCAAGGCAGATTTGGGTTCTGTGATGATGGGAGCTGCAGAGAGCTCCTGTGGCTCAGCACAGCACAGCTCAGCCTCAGAAGCTGGGCACTGGGGAGCAAAGAGATGCCCTGCAGTCCCAGCTGGCATTCTGTGCCCCTTTTACTCTCTCAGTTCTGTCGTGGTGAATGATATTCAGTTAGTTAAATGTACTGCTGCTGCTCTGCAAGGCTGCCTCTGAAATCTCTCTAATGAGATTAGATAATGTACAGCCTTTGCCCTGAGAAAAGCTCTCTTGCTTTGGGGGCTTTCTGCTTAGTTTTGCTAATCTGGCTGCTGATACTGAAAGTGCAGCCCCTGCTCAGCAGAGAGAGCCCAGAGTGCACCCAGAGCACGGCCCTGGTGTGAGCCAGCTCTGCTCTGCAGGGCTGGGGCTCCATCCTTGTG